GGAGCGCGCCACGCGCGCGGCTGCACAAGGCGTGGGCATCAAACTGATGCGGCGACTGGAAACATTTATTTTTCCGCACAACGGCTATGCCAGAGAGCTTCGACCGCTGTCCGCTCCGTGAGCACGCGGCGCCGCCGTGGCCGTCGAGCTCCAGTGGGGCGAGGGCATCAACGAGCTCGCTGCGATTGTCCACGAGACACCTCACGTCGACGCGCCCGCGCGTTCTGTCCTATTCCGAACAGATGTCCTCTCGCACCCCGCAGTACCTGAATCCGTTGAGCGCGCTCTACGAGCCGCTGAGTTACCCGATTTGGTCGGCCAGGGACGGGGCGCTGACGTTTTAGCGAACGCTATGTGGCAGGCTCTTGGACGAGTGGCTCGTGAACATGCTCATTCGCAAAGCACAAGCCCAACGAATTGCGAGAAGAACAGACATGTGCGAAGCGCTGGCCAACGACGCGCCCGTCCCTGGCACGAGTACCTACTTGCCGTCCAGCGTGCCTGGGTCTCCTCGACGCCCACGCAAACTCCGAATGGGCTCGTTGGAGCTTGCTCGGCGCAAAAGCCCGCCGACCTTTTTTTTCACTTTGACACGCGACCCGCACTGGCCCGAGATGACGCGGCGTAGCTGCGGGGGGTCTGGCGCGAGGCGTCGGACCTCCTGAAGGGGCCAAACTGCGAGCAGGTGGTCTCGAGTGAGCTGGAGCTGCTCTTCGGGCGAAGCAGGCGACGCTGGTGACGGATGGCTCATCTCGCACCCGCGGGGGACGTGGCGGGGCGCCACCTGGCGCTCGAGGTGGCCGGGCCCGTGCGGAGGGGGCGCCTCCTCGCCGCGGCGCCGGCGCGGCACCCGCCCCATCTGGAGCGAGCGTGGGGCGACCTCCTCAGCCTGGAGGGGGTCTTTGGCTGCGCGTGCGTGACCGACAGCTGGGAAAGGAGTCCTCATCGCGAACGACGAGCGCTTCGCGGTCCTGAGCAATGCGAAGGGTACGAGTGCAGCACGTGGCGGCAGCGAGGCGGAGCTCAAGCACGGGGGTGCCCGGCGGCGCTCACACCACGAGGCGGCGAAGACCACATTGCCCGACTGGCCCGGGGTCAGCGAGGGCGCGGCAGGGGAGGATCGGACACGGGGACGCGCGGGTCGCGCGGGCGAGGGGCCAGGCGCTGCCTGCCGGTACTTCGTGGACGAGAGCTGCGAGGTGGTCGCTCCTGTTCCGGGGGCAGCGGGCGCAGGAAGAGCACAACAACGTCCTCGAGCTGCGCGCGATCGTGGCCCTGCTCCGCCACCTGTCCCGCTCGCGGCCCTGTCGGGGCAAGAGGGCTTTTCGGACTCGCTGGTATCCACATGGGAGTCCTGACGAAGGGGGCGTCTTCGGCACCTGGCCCACTTCACCTGGCGGGGCAAGCGGCAGCGGCGCAGCTCGCGCGCGGGGTGAAGGTCTACCCGAGGTGGGTCGAGTCCGAGGATAACGCGGCCGACGGGCCCAGTCGGGGTCTGTCCATCGGAGCGGCGGAGGCGACCAAGGAGGAGCACAAGTGGAGGCATACCCCCAAGTCGCTGAGGACGATGCTGACGGGAGTTCGAGGTGGTGCACGAGACGCTCGGACGGGCAAGGTGACGATCACGGCGTAGTGGGACGTCGCGGGGACTGCCATCACAGTGCACGGGGTCGGCTGCCGAACCCGTTCCGCGGCGAAGGCATCGGTGGCGATCGCGGCGTAGTGGAGAGTCAGGGGGACTACCATCGCATGGCACGTGTGTCGGAGCTTGTGCTTTCTCGTGCCGGTCGCGGCCCGCCTTGGTTTTTCTCGAAGGCGAAACTTTTGGCGCACTGGGTCGGTGCGTCGGCGCACGTTGGCCAGATTGACTTGGCGTTGGGCGCTCTGGGGACCGACCTCGACTGGGCGCGCGCGCGCTGCTGTGGAACCTCGGGGGAGGACTTCCAATTCGAGCGGTTGGGCCACCACGCCATGTCCGAGGCACCCATGCAGGCTGATTTGGCTTGCGAGGTGGCGCCGGCGAGGGAAGCAGCGTGCACCGCTCGTGGCGAAAGTTCCGCATCGCGCTCACGACCTTCATGGTGGCTCGTGTTCTTTGTGGTGACGTGGCAGGTTTCCGAGGCGGCGCGCATGACGCGCAGGCCCCCTGCGCTCAAGTCTCGAGGATCCCTGGCGCGGCAGAACGCTGCCTGTTCAATAGCAGACTGGCCTTACACGCGGTGGATGACAGAACGAACGTGGCCTATGGGAGAGCAGTCAGGGAGCTTCTCACTGGCATCAAGAGATTTGGCGTACCCTTCGAGACAGTGTAGCAGCGGGACAAGGCCCTCGCGGCGCACCTGGCGGACCAGTGCTACGTCAGAGGGCTCGGGTACGCCAAGGGCAGCATGGTGTTCAACGATTTCGTGCGCATCTTCGAGGGCCATCGCAACTTCCTGCCCCTGGCCCACCGCGCCTGGAAGGCTTGGGAAAGGCAGCAGCAGGGGCAGGAGGGCCAGCCCATCCCGTTGCAAGGGCTCGGCCTCATCATCATCATGGACTTGTGCCGTGCAGGCCTGGCCCACGTGGCGCGCGCAGTCGTCGTGCAGCTGGACGGCTGGATGCGGGGGCAGGACTGGGCCCAGCTGAGGTGCTGCGACGTGTCGAGCGACGCTGCGGGCAGGATGGCGCTGCTGCTGGGCGACAGGACGAGGGGCGAGAAGGTCACGACGGGCCCAGAACAAGGGTCTTAGCTCATGACCGAGCTGGCCGAAGGTATCCTCCACTGCCTCACCCGCGGCCTGGACAGGGAAGCGCTGGTCTCCCGATCACCCCCAACAGGTACAGGCGGGCATGGAGTGCCAGCCTGGCCAGGCTCGGCCTCGAGACTTTTGGGCTGCCCCGCGGCATCAGGCACGCGGGAGCGGCTCACTTCGTGGCGAACGGGGTGGGGGCGGGCTTAGAGATCGCGAGGAGGCGGGGGGCGTTGTACTACGTCAAGTGCCCCCAGCGCTACACGAAAACGCATGTCCTCATCCAGCGCCGTGCGTTGATGCAGGACGCTGACATCCAGAGATGTGCGCAGTTTGGGATGGCTCCAGGCGCGGCGATGGCCGCTGCGCTGAGCGCTGGAGAAGTCGCCAGCAGCAGACAAGCCGCTAACAGCTCACCTAATTCGCCGCCTGCGCAGTCTGACAGGTGACGGCGTGCAGCTGGGCGTGGCAGCTGCCAAGCCACGGCCCGAGGTGGCCCGTCCGAGGACGGGGCTGAAAGCCCTGTCTAGAAGGCGCAGCTCGTAGCCCCCCTCGCTCCTCTTAGGTCATCGCAAGGTTTACTCGTTTTAGTGTATCCCTAAACGTGCCGAAGCTGGGGGGGTCGTAATATTATATTGTTACTTCCCTCTTTCCCCCCTCCCAGCCTGAATTGACTACGCCCTGCGTTGTGCGAGCTTTTAGGGCCTGGCGGCCAGAAGTGGCTGGGTGACCGTGTGGGACCTTTCACACTTTGAGTTCGAGGGCCTCGTGGCCCACCAGGGGCCGGGTCAGGCACCACCCGCCAGGATGTTACTGTTGCAAGAGCACCGAATCTTCAGACAACAAAAACGAAGGAGCTGCACGCTGGCGGGATCCCTGCTGCCTTCCTTTGATGTTGTTTCCCTCACGGGTCCTCATCCCCCTCCCTCTCCGCCGCAGACTGCGCAGACTGCAACTGCCACCCCTCCTTCCTCCTCCTCCCTCCTCCCTCCTCCCTCCTCCTTCATCCTCCTCCTCCTCCCCCTCCCCCTCCCCCTCCTCCCCCTCCTCCTCCTCCCCCTCCTCCTCCTCCTCCTCCTCATCCTCCTCCTCCTCCTCCTCTTCCTTCTCCTCCTCCCCTCCTCCCCCTCCTCCTCCTCCTCCTCCTGCTCCTCCTCGTCCTCCCTCCCCCTCCTTGCCCTTTCTCCTCCTCCTCATTCTCCGTCCTCCTCCTAGCCTGCCCACTCGGGGGGCACGCAAACCTGGATTGGCGATCCATGGATTTGGCGCGCGGTCGCCAAATCGATGGACCGGGGGAGGTGCCCTCCCCAAAATGCGGGCGGTGCCGCCTCGTTCAGCGGCGGAACTCCGCGACTCCCCTTGGACACGGGCCCCGTCGCCGATCCACGCCCCCCCCCCCTGATGACCCCGGGCCTCCCCCTCTGACCCCATGCCCTGCCATCGCCCGGCCCGCGCCCGGCCCCCCCGGAGCAAACGCACCGTGCTCTCCGTCCCCCGCCCGGGCCCCCGGCCACGCGCCGCCCGGGACGGGCCTCGGCCCTTCCCTGTGAGCACCGCCCTGGCCAGGTTTCGGGACGGCAGGGGCCCAGGGGCCCACGAACAAATGGACACAAACGATAGGATTCCCCATGTTTTCACACATTTTCTGTTTTTTGTCTTCCCCCCCACTTCCCGTATGTTCCAATGTTTTCGTGGGAATCGACGATGAACTGTGTCTGTGTGTTTTGTTTCCCTCCTGAGGGACGGCAGGTGCCCCCCCCCACCCAAGGACCGAGGACGAAGAAGAGGACGAGAAAGAGCAGCAACTCGAGATGCGTGCGTTGCACGTTTTTTCACACCCACCGCTTCCACCCAGTTTCGGGCCCCCGGGACCATCACAGATCGATCCAGCTCGAAGAACGCCGCAGGGGGATGGGGTCCAGGGCTCCGGTCGTGACTTCTCGCGGTGCTACTGTTTTTTGCTCGTGGCGTCGGACCTCAGGGGAGGAGCAAGAGGACAATGGCGACACGAGGGCAGGAGGGGTGAAGAGGTGCTGCACAATCACAAGGGGAAAAGAGGAGAAGCAGTCTGGGGCCTCCCGACCAGGAGGACCATATCACAGAAGCGCAGACCGATGCCCCACGGCAACGCAGCACGGCAACGCAACCCGAAGGCCTCCCGGCCAGGAAGAACATGAGGATCGGGAGAGCAGATGCCGACGCCGTGGGATAGCGTTTGCGGCAGCTCAGTTTGTGCCGCTCGTGGCGCAGAGAAGGATGCAGAGGTGCTCACTCGCTAGGGACAAACGCCATCATGGCGTCCTGAGACTCGCAGAAGCCGTTCCACATGGCCGCGCGCTTCTGACATCCTGCCTCGTCGAGGCCATGCTTCTCCGCCCACACGTCGTGCCTCCACCGCTGAGTCTCCATCGGCTTCTTGGGGCAACCAGATGGCATACGCATGTAACACCCAGGACGGGTGGGACTCTTCACCGCGCTCTCCTTGTCGGCGGCAAGGGTCGCCCGCTCCGCCGCGGGCGCCATGGTCTCGGCTGGCTTCTCCTCGGCCGCCTTCTTGCTCCTGCTCCAGGGCCACTGCGACGAAGCGGAGACCTGGAGCGCACTCAGCGGCTCCGAGCGGGCCTCGCCGGCGACGTACACCATTTGCGCGTCCTCCGAGCCGCAGTAATTGTTCCACGTGCTCTTGCGCTTGTCGCACCGCTCCTTGCCGAAGCCCCGCTTCTCCGCGTACGTGTCGCGCCTCCACTGGGCAGTGTCCATGGGGTTGTTGGGGCAGCCAGAGTTCATCCGCATGTAACACCCAGGCCGCCTCCGAGGAAACCAAGGTGCACCGACACCGCTGCTCCTCGGCCCTCTCCCGGGGTGCGTTCCAGCCAGAAACTCCGAGGCGAACCCGGGCGTGACGAGGGCCTCCGAAGGGGCCCAACGAGGGCGAAAACGAGGCAAGGGCAGCAGTGTCGGTTCCTTTTGTCCTCCTCTGCGCCTCGGCTCCTGCAGCTTGGTGGACCCCGCGTCCGATGCCTCCGCAGAGTCGGGGGCCTCCTCTTGCCGGCGCGCGCAGTAGGGCGGCGCGCGGGGGGCGGCCTCCGAAGAAGGCGGAGGGGCTGCTAAGACGGCGGGTGCCTCCAGGAGGGCCTCCCGGCTGCGAAAGTGAATGGGGCCCAGGGGCACACAAACCACTAGGCACCAATCCTAGTGGCGGAGGGAGGAGGGGCTTCTAATGTTCTACTGGAACCGTCGCGCGCGCTTCGCGCGCGTTCCAGTTCGAGCTAGCTTGAAGGATAGCGCGCAGCGGAGGGAAGAAGAGAGGTCAGCTGTGGCGGCAGGCAACCTGGTCGAATTAGCCACGATTGCGTCCTTCGTCCGTCGTCCTTCGTCCGTCGTCTGTCGTCGTCGTCACCCTCGTCGCCGTCGTCTGCGTCGTCGTCTGTCGTCCGAAGCGCTCTTTGTGGCCAAGGCTGGCTTCTTATCGAAATTCTTGTCCAAAAGCACCCCCAGGCATCGCAGTTTTTGTTTTTTGCATCTTGGGCTGTCTGGGAAGCCTTTTGGGCGTCTCGGGAGCATCGGGGGGGGAGGCTTGCGAGTTACGTGGGGCTTCCTGTTGGGCTTCCGGGGGCCCAAGGCTGGAAATGTCCGTTCGGCCTCCGCCTGGACCGCTAGGCCCTTGGGGGCCTCTTTCCGGCCTCCTGGATGCTGCTTGGGGCCGTTTGGGGGCCTCTTGTGGGCCTCGTGGGCTCCCTTGGGGGCCTCTTGGGGCCTCCGCGGAGCATCCTGGACTGCTTCTTGAGGTCGTCATGGGACCATCTTGGCATGTCTTCGGGGGCCTCCTAGAAAGAGTTATGAAGCCTTTTGGGTGCCGTCTTGAGGCCTCATTGAGCCTCTTTTGGGCTTATTGGGGGCCTCTTGGGGCCTCTTGGGGGCCTCGTGGGGCCTCCTGGGGGGCTTCCTGGAGGCCTCTTGGGGCCTTTTTGGAGGCATCTTGGGGCGGAGAGCTTAATTTTTCAGTTCGCGTTCCCTCTCTTAGGCTCCTCTTGGGCCTTCTTGGGACCCTCTTGCGCCGTCTTGGGCGGCTCTGGGGCCGTCTCGGGGCTCTCTTGGGCCGTCTTAGGGGCCCTCTTGGGGGCCTCTTGGGCCGTCTTGGAGCGGTTTTGGGAGCCTCTTGAGCGGTGCTTTAGCGCTAGAAACACGAATCAGCGAGACTGCAAAACCGTGTAGATATATTTATCTATCTATATATATATATAGGAAGAGCCTGGAATCACGAGTTAAAAAAATAATTCGCGAATTCATATATATATATATATATATATATATATATATTTATCGCCGGTATACATAAACCACCGGTAGAAAAGTATAGTATTGCGAGTTGTTTTCCTTCGTGCGTATAGATATATCACCTATAGCAAAGTATGAGCTCGCGAATTAATTGTTTATAAATAGATTAAAAAAAACAAATGTTATTAGAACATAAAATATAAATGCTACAAGTCCGCGTTTTTTCCCACGAAGATAATGCACGTTTCAAAGGCAGAGAATATATCAATACACGATAGATTCTTTTCTTCCTTGAAGATTTGGTTTCCAGGCTTCAGGATCAGTTTTGAGAGCATCGAATTACCAGACAGGTTCTTCGAAGCTCATGCTGTTGGCTGGCATCCCGGAAATATTTCCGGGATCGATCGGTCTCCCAGAACTGATATGCCCGTGTCCTACAGAGGATTCGTAGCGGCTCTGGGGCAGAATTCAGCAAGGGATTGAAGGTTGCTAACTTTATTGATTTAGTCCCCTCTAAATATGTAAACCTCTGCGGGACTTTTAAATCCAAGTTACGAATCCGACGATAGAGCGTCGGTAGAGCACGGGCAAAGAAAAATAAGGTCTATATTTGTCAGTCATCACTATTCTCTCTTTATTTATCGATATATTGGTAATATTCCGAACACGGTGAATGCAATTGATCCGTAGTGTTTAATGTTCAAGCTGATTTAGCAATTGTTTGTCATTATGACACCTTCATTTGTACTTTCGGTTCGCTTCATTGGAGAGGGTACATGTCCAAATTATGTTTACTTTGGTCTGTTTACTGTGGTCGATGAAATTGTTTTATGGCGTCGTCCACCTGTACAGGGCGCTCGAATTCAACTCCAGGTCGCGTCGTCATCGTTTGAAAGATGGGTGGCTCCCCGCTCCAGAAGATTGATGCGCACCTGGAGCTCGGTCGAGCAGCGGAAGTGGTCAACCTCGGCCCCCGAAAAAAAGCCGAACAAGAAAAAACCGAGGGGGCGAAAAGGTAAAAAACAACGTCCATGTACGACGAGCCGGTTCCTTTTACATCACAAGACATGTCGTTCCATCAGAGGGGGGAATAATTACATTCGGGATAACGACATGTACGTGTATTTTTTAACACCGTCATCCTACAATGGGAAAGAATTTTCAGAAAAGACGATTTTAATTGCAACAAACTACGTATTCTTTTCTCGTCTGTTTAGAGTGCAATAATTTGAAGAATTTGAATGAAGTTCACGTTTAAGACAAATTACCATGGTTTGGTTTTGGGCGCTGCAGGTCCGGCTGGCTTTTGGCAAAATGCAACGACTGGAGAGCCACACGTGCGTTTTTCCCATGCGTGTTTATGTTGGCAGATGGAGAAGACGAAGAAGCAGACATTATGTTTGTCGATTTGTTTTTCGATATCGCTAAAGATGTGGGCATGGAAATACGAGATGCATATTGGGATTGTGGATTCTTTCATAGTATCGAGAAGAAATGTGGCACAATTTTATATGTACATCGATGTTTGCAGCATGTGCGCACTAATTTTGAAGAACCGAAATGCCGCAGAACACATTTCAACACCAAAACGCCGCAAGGAACACATTTCAGCACCGAGACGCCGCATCACACATTTAAGCACGGCACAAGTGAGCACCGAAACGCCGCAAACTGCAAATTTCAGCACCGAAACGCCACAGAACACATTTGAGCATGAAAACGCCGCGGGACACATTTCAGCACAGAGACGCCGCAATCAGCAAATTTGAGCACCGAAACGGGACACATTTGACCACGGAAACGCCGCAGGACACATTTGAGCACCGAAACGCCGCAAAGTTCAGCACTGAAACGCCGCAGACACATTGGAGCACTGAAACGCCTTTCTCCCAAAATAATATCATCGCGTTTTTGATTAAAATTGTACAACAAAAATTCACGAAGGGGAAAAGGCTGAAACGACAAGTCGCGGCACCAGCCTGGTTAACAGAATGCTTCAACCGCGTCGCTGCAAATTTCTCCGTCCCAACACAACTGGTGGTATGATGGGATTCAGTGATAGTTTCAGATGTTTATGTCTGATTTCGTTATAGACGGAACGTATTCGACATTATTCAATTGTTGGAGTTGTTTTGGTAATCCATTCATCAGTTTAAGAATATAGAGTATATCAGCATATTTCTGTTCTTTCAGCATAGCTGTATTGTTTTATTTGTTTACCATAAATGTTTACATGTTCTTGTTTGTGTAAATACCAGGTTTTTTTGTAGAAAAATACATGAATACTGTTTAGATCAGTTTCGAACTCTAATATTGAGAAACTTATCAGTTGAAACAGTTTGAGTTTTTGTTCGATAGATTGCCGCTGGGTGTTGACAATCGTGATTTTTTGAACATTGTTATCACTGCGAAAACACTACCATTCCATTGTTTGTTTTCTGTTTTTCTGTTGTCTATCGTTGTCGTTGTTTATTTCAACGTTTTTACATGTTTGTCGCAAGAGAATTTATTGTGGAATGTCTGACTTGTTTAGTTTTAACGTTGCTTGGTTTATTCGTTTTTTTTATGTATTGTTCAATTGGGTAGTTGGATGTGGTCACCTTTTGTTTAAACATGTTTTTACACGATGTGTTTTTCTTTGGGTTGCAGGATGTGTTAGGGTTTTGTTTTCATTCTTTGGTGTGTTCAGCATTCCATTGTTAGACATGCATGAACACAGTTATTTCGATTTTCGAATCGAGGTTTCAGATTCTTCTTGGACATATTAGTTTGATTAGCATTGTATTTCAAGTAATATATATATGTATATGTGTGTTCGGCGATAATTCATTTTGAGGTCTTCAATGCATGCCTGTTTTTCCTCGTAGCAGATTTCCCAGTTTCACAGTCAATGACAGTTTCATTTTTCTCATTTTATAGTATCCGTTTTGTGTCTAACACATTTGCGTAACGAAGTTTTTTTCGAAATAGAGTTGTCGAGCGGAAATAGTTTGTTAAGCAGCTCGAGAATAACACTGTCCGGTGTATGTCGCTGCGCTGCTCTATTTGCGGGGTTATGCCTCACGGCATGCATTGAATTTCTCTGCATGTTGTCAGACTGCATGTGCTCGAGCTTCCCTGGATGCCCCACGCTGTCAGCGCACAGCCATCGCCACCACCGCCACCACCACCACCACCACCACCACCACCACTACCTCGCTGTCGTCTGCCGTCGACCTTCTCCCTCTGCTCTCACTCTCGCTTCTGCTCTTCCGCCGCGCTTCCGCGTTTCCTCCCTGCTTTAGTGGTGCAGCCCTCTAGATCAGAATCATACTTTGAATTTTGTACTACTATAGAGAAATATCGCTGCACTCTGCACAGCATTCTCAATACGGACGCCTGCAAATAGAATATTTTTGGTCGCGGCCGCGAGCGAAAAACGCACGCGGCGAAAGCAATTGTCCGGGACAGCGAACAAGGCGAACTAGCTAGAAGACGCGCCGCAAGCCGACCGGCCCACTCACCAAGCAGCAGCGGGGTGGTGGTGGGAGCAGCAGCAGCAGCAGCAGCAGCAGCAGGAGTAGGAGTAGGAGTAGGAGTAGTAGTAGTAGTAGTAGTAGTAGTAGTAGTAGTAGTAGTAGTAGTAATAGTAGTAGTAGTAGTAGTCGTCGTAGAATTAGTAATACTGCTACTGCGATTATAATTATTACTTCCATTACTACTACTAGTACTACTGCTAGTATTACCATACAATTAATATTACCATTACTACTGGTATATTAGTTTTACTCACATTACCACTACTACTACTACTAGCACTACTACGACTACTACTACTACTACTACTACTACTACTACTACTACTACTACTACTACTACTACTACTACTACTACTACTACTACTACTACTACTACTACTACTACTACTACTACTACTACTACTACTACTACTACTACTACTACTACTACTACTACTACTACTACTACTACTACTACTACGACTACTACTACTACTACTACTACTACTACTACTACTACTACTACTACTACTACTACTACTACTACTACTACTACTACTACTACTACTACTACTACTACTACTACTGCTAGTACAACAACTACCACTACTACTGCTCCTACTACTACTACTACTACTACTACTACTACTACTACTACTACTACTACTACTACTACTACTACTACTACTACTACTACTACTACTACTACTACTACTACTACTACTACTACTACTACTACTACGACTACTACGACTACTACGACTACGACTACGACTACTACTACTACTACTACTACTACTACTACTACTAATAATAATTCTACTACTACTACTACTACTACTACTACTACTACTACTACTACTACTACTACTAGTATGACCACTAGTACTACTACTTGCTATCACGAAGACTATCTCTACATAGACTAGTATTGTTACCACTGGCCAGGGTAGGAAAAATATGAACTTGCGAGTTAATACTTTTTTGTCTCTCTGGGCAGAAAAAGAATTAACTCGCAAGCCAATATTTTTTCTTCTCGGTGGGCAATGAGTAAAGTTAGCTCGGAAGTTGATACTTTTCTGTCATTGGAAGCATGATAAGGTATTAACTCGCGAGTTAATATTTTTCTGGAGGTGGATGTGCATACCCGAGATGAAAAGTATTAACCCACGAGTTAACTATTTTGTAACTCGTGATTCGAGTGTTGTTGATATATATATATATATATATATATATATATATATATATATATATATATATGTATTCCTCTTCCTATATGTTTAATAAGCCTGGGCGGGGGGGAAGCCCGTCCCCCCCCCCCCAAAAAAAAAAACAGGACTTCCGGGACCTGGGGCTTTGGGGCCCGGATGGGCCTCGAAGCGGCCACCGGGCCTCGCGAGGCGTTTTGCCGAGCCTTCCCAGCACACTTAGGGCGATCAGGGGGGTCATCGGAGACGTCCCGGAGACCCCCAAGACAGCACAAGAGCGCTCAAACAGGGACCGACGTGACCTCAAGATGACCCAAGAGGCCTCCAGGACGGCCCCGAAGAGGCTCCCAAGAGCACTCCCAAGAAGGCCCCCCAAGGCAAAAATCATTGATTTTCTGCAGGTTTTTGGTGAATTTCGGGGTTCTTCTCTTTTCGGCTTCCCGACGCTCCAAGACGGCGGTCTTCTGGGCGTCCGAAGCCGCCTGGGAAGCTCCCGAATCGCCCCACAACCACCCGAAAGGGCTTCCAGGCAGTCCAAGAGAGCCCCAAAACGGCACAACACGGGTCCAAGATGGCCCACAGAGAGCCCCATGGCGGCCCAAGATGGCCCAAAGACACCCTCCGAAGAATTCCAAATCGTGATTCGGTCGTTCAGGGAGACGACGGTTGGAGGCAGGGTGGCCCGAGGAGGCCCCCGGAGGCCCCCAGAATACGCCCAGGAGGCCTCCGGAAGGCCTTAAGAAAGCCCGAAACAACTTTTGTGAGGCCCCTGGAGGCTCTCCAAGGAGGAGCTTCCGCAAAAAAGAGCTGAGGAGGATGCGGAGAATGCGCAGGGTATGGCGAAAATTGGAACAATAAGCATGGAAGAAGGATAACGAATAACATCATTATAGCGGCGATGTCGGAAAAAGGCAACCAGGAGTTATCGCTAAATTGTCGGCTTGACCTTCCTGCCATTCCGCCTGCAAACCAAACTTCAAGGACCAAGGTGCATGGCGCGAAGCGCCACTGCAGTTACATATGTATATATATATATATATACATATATATATATATATATATATATATATCTGTGTGTATGTGTGTGTGTGTGTGAGTGTGTGTGTGTGTGTGTGTGTGTGCGTGTGCGTGTGCGTGTGCGTGTGCGTGCGTGCGCGCGTGCGCGCGTGCGTGCGTGCGTGTGTGCGCGTGCGTGCGCGCGGGGTTCTGAGCGTAAGCTCTTCGGGAATACAGGCAAGCCCAATCCTTGATCACGTCACTCAACAAGGGCGCGCTTTATTGTTATTCCCTGTTGGCCCAAGCTGTTGAAAGAGCTTAGGACCCCTCGGAAACGACGGCACCAGTACGCGCGAGCCTCAGAACTCACCCCGAGGCCACGGCAGGAATCACACCATGAGCGCACCACCGTCGTCAAGCGACCAGGGTCAGAACGCTGCGGGGCCCCGGGGTAGGGGGGGGAGGAGACTCGCACCGAACTGCGCCAAGCAGACCGAGAAGATCTCCTAGCTCACGCGAGTCTTTGCACAAACGAGCAAGCTCGAGAGTTGCCGCGGGCGCAAGGCACAGAACAGGGCGGCAAGCGGGAGGGCCAGAACAGCTGCCGTGCGATCGAATACGACCAACAAACACTCGCCACCCTTAGCCCACACATCAGCCGCAAACGTATTCATGTGTGTGCGGGCGGGGTTACGAGCGTAAGCTCTTCGGGGATCAAGGCAAGCCCAATCCTTGATCATCTCACTCAACAAGGGCGCGCATTAGTGTTATTCCCTGTTGGCCCAAGCTGTTGAAAGAGCCTGGGATCCCTCGGAAACGACGGCACCAGTGCGTGCGAGCCTCAGAACTTACCCCGAGGCCACGACAGGAATCACACCTTGAGTGCACCACCGTGTCAAGCGACCAGGGTCAGACTCGCGCCGAATTGCGCCAAGAAGACCAGGAAGCTCCACTCCCAAGAACACCAAGCTCCCGAACAAAAAACAAAAAAACTCCACTGCGTTCCAAAGATGGCTGAAAGCCGCCCAAACATTCTCGCTACTGGCCTGATTTTCTACAGTACGCCCTGACACGGGCAAGTGTATCTGAGAACGTCTGGAGCGAGGATCGGGCACTCTGCTGGAACCGCATCTCAGCCAAAACTGTGCCCCCATCCTGGATATAAATCTTCGCCGTCCTCTGAGAGCTCCAGCGGCCTCGAAGCATAACCATAGATAAATCACCAGACAGCAGATACTCGCGGGTTGCCCCGCCCCTTCGAAGACTATAAGGGACGAGGGAGAGATGCTCGCAACCAGTCTGCTGCAGGCCAGCGCGAAACATTGAATGGAACGCGCGAGACGAGGCGGGCCAGAGTCGGCCATCACGTTGGAACTGCACGTGAACGACCGGTCCCACAAGCGGATCGTCCAGCGTCACCGCCTCGCGCGCACCCTTCTGACAGGCAGTCTCTGTCCAGGGTAGCGACACCGCGCCGCGGCCGCAAGGCTTCAGCTGGACGACGCCGCTGGAGAGGCTGAGGGCCTCGACTGTCCGAAGGCGCAGGTGGAAGCCCGCCAGCGCTGTCGCCGCGAACGCGATCTCTTCCCCCCCCGCGCCCAGCCAGCTAGCGCACTGCAGACCAGCGGCGGCATCGGCTGCGCACGCTGAGGCACCTCCAGGCGGCCCCAGACTGACAGCAGCCGCCACGCGCCAGCGTACTGACGGCGCGTTCTCAACACATATTGAATCCCACTGAGTGTATCGTTAGCTTGACCTTTGGTGGCGCCCTCGGCCCAACGATACTCGAGGTAATCTTGGAGAGTAACATCCATATCTTCCCATGTCACAGGCAGCTGCAGGTTCATGGCATTTTGATAGTCAACAAACTGCTGGGCGGCTCGACGATATCTCGCAAGTGTTGCAGCACCAATTCGAGCGTCACCCAGCTTCCCCAGTCCAGCACCGGCGGCGCGCCGATTGGAGGGGCTACTCCGCTTCCCCATCCTTCAGGCGCGACGGGGCGTCTGCGGGGTTCCTGGCTGAAGAAGTGAAGCCGAACGCTGCCCGCGCGGCCATCACCAGTTCCCAAGCAGAGAAACTGCGCACCACCTTATTGAGCTGACTGCTGCTAGAGCGGTGCTTGGAGAGAGCACCGATGTTGACCATACTGTCGAGTAGGTGTAAGAAGACGCGCTGTTGACGCCCCAGAGAACGAGCACGCCATCGAATCATCATCAGGGCGCCCTGGCACTCCAAGACGTCGATGTGCTCTGGAACGGCCCAAACCAGCTGTCGAGCTTTACGCCGCTGCGAAATACCTGCATCAATCTCCTGCCGAGGGAATATCTGACCGAGCTCCTCAGAGCTCCCGTCCGTACGTATGTCTGCACCATTGCTGCGGCACGCAATCGCAAGATTCGTGGCCAGCCTTCGCGAGACATCTGAGTCTCTCCAGGAAGTCGCACCACGCTTGGCCAGTTCGGCAAGCAGCACGTCCGCGTGGCAGGACACCGCCTGCTCGCAGTGGCACGCCAGGGTAGCCCCGCGCAGGTCCTCCAGGCGACCCAGCAGCTGCGGCTGCCCCCGCAGCCAGCCCGCGAACAGCGCCACCGCGTCCTCTCGCGAGCAGCTCGGGCTGATGGCCAAGGGGTTGCCCCAGCCGGAAGGCTCCAAGCTCCAGCGCCGCGAGCCACGGCCGACGTAGACCACCGCTGGCGGCCCCGGGCCGGCGCGCCCCGCAGCTGCCACCTCCAGCTCGCGGGAGACCTGCTCGTCGAGCTTCGCGCGTCCGCAGCGCAGCGAGGCGAGGTCGCCAGCCCACAACTTGCGGCCTCCAGCCCAGGCGCGCGCGCTGGAATGCAGCTCGGCCACCGACGGCACGGTGACCAGCAGCCCCACAGCTACGGCCCAATGGCTAAACAACCAGGCTACCACCTCGCACTGAAACGAGTTCCCCGCCAAGGATCGCCGCAGCGCCTCGTACTTGGTCGGGCTGGCCTTCGCCTCCGCGCTGGTCATGCACGGGACAGTGTGGCCCTCAACGAAGCCCATCAGCTTCTCGCGCGCGACCGCGTCAGGCGGCGCCACGCGGCCACCGGCCTCGTGGACGCACCACTTGTCACGGAACTGGTAGGGCGGGGCAGCAAAGCCCACCTCCTCCCAGCGCGCCAGCTCAGCATCCGTACACTCCCCGATGCCCGCAGGCCTGGGGCGCGGTTGCGAGAGCGGCGCCCAACGAACAAACGTAGGCAGCGGCTCCCCAGCAGCGGCCCCAGGGCAGTTCGCACCAGCAGGTAGCCACTCCTCCAGCGGCGGCCGCTCAGCCTGCAGCGCCACGCGGCAGGCGCGGCGGCCCGCCGAGCCCTTCGCCATCACCATGGTCGCCTTGGACCCGAAAGAGGGCAGCAGGTCCCAGGACGTGCAGTACAGGCACGGTCGCTTGACCCAGCCGATGTCACCGGCCTCGACCTCCAAGGGGATTCGCTCGAAGAGCGCGTTGAGATGAAGTGCGTCAGATTCGACCGTCGAAGCAACGTTCTCGCCGAGGAAGTCAACCGTGGCCTCAGGCATGGCCACCCGCAGCCCCTGGATGATCCTGACCATGTGGCCGACAAGCGAGGCGCTCGGGTCGGCGGCACCTCGGCGGTCCACGTCGAGGCTCGCGTAGATCTGGCACGGGAAGCCGCCCATTACCAGCACGCGAGTGATCCGACCTCGGGCCCGCAAGAGGCCCGCCAGGGTGACCGGGTCGGCCTCCGTCACGTCCCCAAGGTGCTGGGCCCCAGGGTAGCAGCGACGCGCACGGCCCGGGGGTCAATCTCAAACGACAGGTGGACCGCGGGCACCTGGCCGAGGATCTCGAAAGCCCTGCGTCCGCCCCCGATCCCGTCGAAGAGGTTGATCAGCGCCGTCTCCTCCTCGCAGGCAGCGCTGGCAGGCCGCCGGCGCCGGGTGGCAGGCGCGCGGCCGCGGTCCGAGAGGGCCGCGCTGTAGATCTCCGCGCCCGCAGCCTCCGACGCATCAGACGCCGTCACCAGGTGGTCGACCTCGAGCCGCATGTCTGCCACACAGAGAGCAGAAAGCGCCAGGCACATCAGCAGGTCGTCGACGACGTTGACGCTGAAGCGGCCTCCACTGCGCGCATCGTCAAGCCATCGCCAAGCATAGGCGAAACGGGCGGCCAGCGGGCGGCGGAAGCAATGAACACGTACCCATCGGCCAAGCAGGATACGTATCAGCCGCATGCTGACACGCTTCTTCCCCAGGACCCAAAAGGTCAGACTCACCATCTCAGTGATGTAGCCCACGGAGGGGCGGCGGGCGCCCTCGACGCCGTCGACCAGCTGGCCCAGGGCGGTCGCACGCACCTCGCGGTGGACGTCCTTGCCAGGGGGCCCAAGCGAGACCGCCGCCTCGTAGCAGGCCCTGGCGTCAGTCAGCAGGGCAGGCACCGTCCCGCGCAGCTTCTCCGCCTCCGACTTGTCGACGATCTCCAGGTTGTCAATGTAGACCATTCATGCCGGGGGGCAAGGCTTCTCCACCCCCAGCGGCAACCGTCGCCGACGCGTGACCTCGCAGCTTGGACAGAGGCCGCGAGGCACGCTGCCACTGCGCTGAAGCATGTTGCGGTGAAGATGGGTACTCACTCCCACCGCGCTGATGCACCCCATGCCGATCACGCACAAGCAGATGTGGGTGGTGCCGCCGTCCTTGAGGCCCGGCAGCCGAGACGGCGCGGAGGGGGCGATCACCATGCGCGGCCACCGCGGCGGCGTCGCCCTGAAGACGTAGAAGAAGGCCTTTCTGTCAGCGCCGCTCCACAACAGGTCCTCCGACTCGGTAAGCACCAGGCCGTTCAGCTGACTCATCGTCGGCATCTCGGGCGTGTCTCCCACGATGCACCCCTGGCACGCGTTCGAGGGGGTCAAATTCGTGATCCGCCTGAGGACGGGCCGCAGCTCGCCGTCGCCGCATCTGACGGGGGCATCGCGGGCCTTTGGAACGCCGAAGGCGCCGTTGAAAAGCGGTGCTCCGTCGCGGCAGGCGATCTCGCTCGGAGCGATGGGGGCGATCATGCGATGCCACTCGGACTCGCAAGCCCGCGCGCGAGCGGGGGTGGGCGCCGTGCGACGGAGCGAAGGCGGCAGCAACACCAGCGACGGGTCCAGCAAGGCATCGCGCAGGAAACCCGTCGCAAGATCGGCCGCCTCGATGGAGGCCGCGACGCCAGGCGGCGGCAGGCCGTCCAGCACCTGTTCCGGGGTGAGTTTGTGAGGGGTCGTGATCTCGGAGCCACTGTAGCCGATCTTGCGATCCTTGGGGCGGCTCTCCCAGTTCAGGTCCCTGGGCAGGCTGGTCTCGATGCGCGCGGCCAAGAAGAGCCGCCGCGCCAGGCCGATCAAGGCGGCCCGCTGGGCTGCATCAGCACGGCCGCGGCAGCATCGAGCGAACTTGAGCGAGCGGAAGCCCGCCCCACAGTTCAGCGCCAGCACCGTCACGACCAGCCTACAGCGGAGCGCCTCCCAGTTCTCGTCGCTGAGGTCCTCGCCGTCATGCACGACATCGGACTTGACAACGGCAGGGTGCGGTAACGGCAACAAGTCACGTTGCAGCCGACCTCCCTTGGTGGCCATGTGCTCGCGCAGCTGTAGATCCAGGGAGTTGCGAACATAGCGACCAAGCGAACCAGGGGAGCTCCTGAACAGGTTGAGAAGTATCGGGCCCACGTCATAGGGCTCTCGGAGCAGGTCTCCAGCAGCCCCTGCCAGATCACGCCAGTCGGCCAGGGGGTCCCAAGCAGCCGCAGCGCCATCAATAGCAGCAGCGGGCACGCGAGGCAGGCGAGGTGGAGCACGGCGAGGCGGCGGGGATCGCGACGTGGGAGTCCAAGGCGGTCTGCGCGAAGAGGCGGCCCGCAGTGAACTGGCCGCACCCGAGCGCGCATCATAAGCATGGGCACCATCAACGATCGGCCTCCACTCGCAGCTCCCGTCTCGGCAGAGCCGCCTCCGCCAAAGGGGGCGCGGGCGTGAACCGTTGGTCCTGCCCGCGTTGTGCCCCCTGCTCCCGCGGCGGCGACCGCGACCGCGCGCGGCCCCCTGAGGCCGCGCCACCGCCGTCGCGGGCTGATCCTGCCTGGACTCTCGCCGCTCGGGGCTGCTCGCCAGCGCCACTCACTTCGGGCGAGGGCTGTCGCCGCGGGGCGTCCGCGGCCCGCTCGGCGGAAGGGCGCGGGCGGGGCTGTCGGAGGGCGCCGCGGCGGGCGGGCCCTCGGCCTCGGCCGCCGCTGCGGGGGCGCTCGGGGCGCGAGCAAGGCTGGCCGCGCGCAGAAGGAAGAAGCGGTTCCTGCCGCGGCCGCGCCATTTCCCTCGGCCTGGAGCAGGCTGCCTCGCGGCCTGCGGGGCGCGCGGGGAGGGCGAGCGTGCTCTCGAGCCCTCCCGCGCCCTCTCCGCGGGTCGTGCCCTCTCGCCGCCGCGGCCCTGGCCCCCTAAGGCCCCGCGGCTCTTGGCGTCCTGCAGCCGCCTCCGCGGCGCAGCCGAGCGGCGCGCCAGGTCCTGCTCGTCCATCGAGGCGAGGGGCGGCCTGGCGCCGGGCACGATCTCCAGCTCGCTCGCGACCTGCCAACTCACACCCGATAGTGAGAACTCCAGCGCCTTGAACCTCTGCGTCAGGACGTCGCTCACCTGCGGCAGCGATCCGCTCTCCAGCAGGTCCCGCGTCGTTGCCAGCGTCAGCACCGCGCGCACCGCGTTGACCCGCAGCTGCGAGACGGTGGTGACCGAAGACGATCGCCTGCAAGTAGCCGACCAAATTCGGACGCGTCTCGGCACCGTCCGCCCCCTCCCGCAGGCCCATCACGCGAGCGATGTTAAGCATCGCCTCGTCGTAGAGGGCGCCGGGCTGCCTCTCCGCCAGCAGCCTCACGCTGCCGCCGCGGGAGGGGGCGTCGCGAAAACGCGGCTCGCCGTCGCCATCACTGCGGCTACCCGACTCGCTGCGCTGCCGCCGCCTGCCGCGACCGCCGACGCCGCGGGCGCCAGCCCCACCTCCTGCGAGGGCTCGAGCAGCCGCGCCCGCCAAGCGATCAGGCGCGGCGCCGCCAGGGATGGGGCCCAAGGCCTGCCGACCCCCGCCGCCGCCGCGGCCTCCGAAGGCGCTCGGCCGCGCCCAGGGCTCCACCAGCCCCCGCGCAGCCCGCAGCCGCAACCACCCCACGTGCAGGACGGCGCGCCCAGCCCGCGCGGGCTCGCCGCACCGTGCAGGGCCCTGCGCGCAGAGGCGCAACAAGCCAGCAGGCCCAACTCCACGAGCCGGGAAGGCACCGTCGAGGCGCATCGCCTCGGCTGGCAGCGACGCCCCTCTGAACTGGGCGCTCAGGTACTGGCCCGCAGCCCCAGGCGCGCCGACCTCGTCCACCTCGAACAGGGCTGTGCCGCTGATGCCGCCCATGGCGTCGTGCGTCGGCAGCTCATCACGGGGGGGAATTAATATCAAACCCAAGAACCGTCAGAACCGACGACGTGGACTCACCAGGAAACTTGAGGGGGGGGGGGTCGCAAAACTGACGGAAACACCTCCCTCACCACTAAGAGAGGGTCACGAAAAACTGACGACCGCCACCTGGGGAACTGCGGGGATATTGCAGCGAAGAGGAAGGGTTGTGAATCCTGACGACGGCGCGGCCGCCCGACCCGTTAGTCCCCTTTGCCGCAAGTGAACTGACGACGGCGCGGCCAGAAAACCCCTAAGTCGCTTTCTATTGGAGTCGCGCTGGTGATGGCAGCTCCACGTTCATGCCCTGGGCCCAGCCAGCGTCCGCCAGCACTGAAGCCGGCGTCCAGGCGCCGTCTGCCAGCGCGTCCAGCTGCACTCTAGCGGCTGGGATGGCGGCGCCTCCAAGCACTCCGAGGGGCGCGCCAGCTCCGAGCGCCGCGGCAGCAGGCGGGGCCCCAGCGCCACCAACAGCTCCGCCGCCAGCCGCAGCGAGCGCGCCCACCAGCGCGGCCCCAACACCGACACCGCCAGCGCCCACCGCGCCAGCGCCGCCAGGCAGAGCAGGTGGCGCGCCGCCCCCGACGCCGCCGAGGCCGCCAGGGACCCCAGGCAGGGCACCGAGCCCTGGCACCACGGGGGCTTCTGCCGCGCCGCCCAGCGGGGGGCCTCCGCCAAAGGCGTCGAGCCCGCCTGGCGCACGAGCCGCACCCCCGCCAGCAGCCCCAGCTCCAGCGCGTCCACGCCCGCGTCGGCGAGCACCTGTAGCACCCCGTCCGCGGCCGCGACCGCCTCCGCCAGGGGCCGCCTTGGCTTTGGCCTTGCCCTCGCCCTTAGCCTTGCCCTTCGCCTCGGGGGGAGTCAGGCTCGAGCGCCGCGAGCGCCGCGAGCTGGGCTCCGAGGTGGCGAGCCTGGTCCACCAGCAGCGCCCGCTCACGCGGCGCCAGCCGCGCCTCGCGCGCCGCCTGCCTGGCGAGCGTGAGCAAGTAACACAGCTCGCACACCTCCAGCAGCCCTCCAGCCTCCGCCAAGGCGAGGCTCTCGCAGGGGGCGAGCCGCCCCTCGCACCAGCCGCAGATCCGAGGCCGCTGGGCCTGCAGTGCGGCGGGGGCGCGAGCGCGCGAGCCCCTAAGAAGCATGCCCTCCTCGAGGGCCCCACTCGAAACTAGAACAGCTGCCGTGAAACCGAAAGCGGCCAACAAACACGCCCCCCTTAGCCCACACATCAACCGCATGCGTATTTATATATACACATACATACACACATACTTGTGTATATATACATTTACATGTACATTTACAGCTACATTTACATGTACATATACATATATACATATATATATATGTAGCACCAGTATGGGTCCCTGGCGCCAGACAGGAGGAAAGATAAATCCCTGGGACCCAGACGAGACTCACCCTGGCTCTACTTCACTTTCTATAGAGACGATGCAGGAATGGCAGAATCGTATCGATCACCGCAAGAGGGGCGACAGTCACTGGGGCACTGGACGCGAAACCCGGAAAAAAGTCTCAAGCTGTACACGGGTGGGTGGGAGGGCGCGTGGGCCGAACGGCTTCGGTTCGGCGTCCATCCCCCTCCCCTCTTGCTCATGCATTTAAATGTGGGGAGCACCAGTATGGGTCCCTGACGCCAGACAGGAGGAAAGATAAATCCCTGGGACCCAGACGAGACTCACCCTGGCTCTACTTCACTTTCTATAGAGACGATGCAGCAATGGCAGAATCGTATCGATCACCGCAAGAGGGGCGACAGTCACTGGAGCACTGGACGCGAAACCCGTACCCGTCTCCCCGAGTGACGAATATGGCCGTCAGGCCGAAACCTCCCAAGCATGTCTGAAGCGATCCGAGGACTCGAGAACCTCAGAGATGTTAACGACATGATCAGCGACGGTGTTACACAACTTCTTGGGATAAGCGGCGGCCAGAGCAGTCCTGCGAGCGGGGGGCCCTGGATCCCTACCTGCCAGAACCACGCGAGGGACCCCGGCGCGCCCGCAGATGCCTTTGGAGCCCCCACGCCGGCGGAGCAGGCGATCGCAGAGGCCCCCGCCCCAAATAGCAATAGTAGACGCCTTTCTCCAATGCGCACCGAATGCACACTGATCAAAGTGGTGAAGACGACAATCATCAGCACGGAGAAGGGGTAACAGCGGCGGCGCCAGCCACATGATGGATGTGCGAGGGTTCTCAAGACCAACTGGAACATTGTGTTGACGACGCAGTCTTATGACGGCAATCGAAAACATGTGCAAGGCATTACCTAAGTCAACTTTGTGCTGATGCGCTTCTGAAAGAAATTGAACTCCCATGGGATCGTCTGAGGTGCGAAGGCAAATACGTACAGCCCTGGACCAGGAGGTGCACGGGTTGCCAAAAAATACGGCAAACAGAGCGTTAGACGTGATCCAGCCCTTCACAACACGTAAGAAGGCAGTCCGAAGATGATCCTCACAGGCTGAATTGACCCAATCCAGAGAGAGGGCGCCGGCGCGCCTGCGCCGAACAGCCTGCGACAACCTGCCGCAGCCTCCAAGCAGTTCGAGAAAGATGCGGGAACGGAGCACCCTCCGGGTGCGTGGCGGCCTCTTCACGTGGTGGAGGTGCCGGGCCACGTCGGCGTCGGAGGCTGTCAGCGCGGCCGCTGGCGTCCGCTCCGCGAGCCGCGCGCGCCCTGGGCGGGCGCAGGCACGCCTGCGGTCAGCAGCCGGTACACGTCGGGGCCCAGCGCCACCTGGCTGCGGGGATCCAGCAGCCCGTGCGGGAGCACCGACTCCAGGTAGGCGACGACCGACTGCCCGAAGGACACCACGTCTGGGTGCACCAGCCCGAGGATGGCCAGCAGCTTCGACTCCTTGCTGTAGCGGCGGAGCGAGGTCTCGCTCTGCCAGCGGCCTCGTCTCTGCACGACGGCAAGCGACCTGCGCTGCAGCGCGAGGTCCTCGGAGGCGCCCCCGTGCCGAAGCTGACGCAAGCTTGGCCGCAGCGGGCCCAGGCCCAGCAGCGCGGCGGCCGCCATCGAACCTTGCCTTGAGATCCCCCGGCGAGAGGTCGTACAGCAGGGCGTCGGGTTGGAGCGGGCTCTTCAGCGCTGCCAAGGGCCGGAGAGTCCGCGGATCCAGGTCGAGCAGCACCGATTCGTCCCAGAGGCCTGTCTTGCCCGGCTGCAGGGTGAGGGAGTCGCCCAGCCGCAAGCCCCAGGCCGCGTTGGTCCCCGCCAGAGCCCGCGACAGCGGCAGCCGCGTCCGCGGGGGGACCCGCCGCAGCCACGCACCCGTGAAGCGGGCGACCCTCGGCAGGAGGGTGCGGGTGGCCCGCCCCAGCACTGGCAGCCAGTGGCCCAGCGCGGACAGCGTCTGGGACCCCGCGTCCGGGCCGTGGCCGAGCAGGAAGAGGTGGGTCAGGAACAGGACCAGCACCGTGTCCAGCGTCGCCGCCGAGTCCCAGGTGGGGCTCTTGCCGTTGCAGAACGCCACCAGCTGGAGGAGCAGCGACGCGCACAGCACCACGGTGGACGGGCGGAAGGCCAGGCGCTCCAGGACGTTGAGTCCTGCCAAGGCCGGCTGAGTCGCCGCTGCCTGGCAGCCGGCCGCACTCCTCTCCTGCATGAGCGGGTTCCCCGTGCGGCCGCCGACTGCGGGGCGTGGGCGGGCGGCAGCTGCGGGCCGCCTCATGGCCCCCCTCAGGCGCCAGGTGGGGCCGGGAGGGGGCGTGCAGGCCCGAGAACCAGCCCAGACGGCTTCGGGAAAGGGCATCGGCCACGTTCCATTCAGACGGAATCCATCTCACCACAAAGCGAGTACCAGCGCAGAGACTCAGGCAACAGAGCTTACGAAGAACCCGACGAAGATGCACAGCATTGGCTCTGCCCTTGGCCATGGCAAGCGCGAGGGGGAAGTTATCCACGAACGCCAGACAGCGGGCCCCGATGTTGCTAACGTTCCGAACAACGTGTTTGGCGGCCAACAACGACGCGTCCCCCTCGAGACAGAGAATGTCGGCCCTCGTGGTAACATGCATAGCCAGAACTGCTGACCAAGACTGCGCCTCGAACAGGCTCTGGGGGACCTCGTTGAAGGCCCTGGCCCACTGCTGGATGCACCCGGGGTCCCCAACAACGGCGGCGGCCTCGAGATCCACGGGGGGCCCAGTCGGTGACGCGAAAGCCGAGTTTCTCGCCTGGGCGTGACCTTCAACCTTGAAGCGCCACCTGTCAGAGCACCGCCCGATGGACGCGACCAGGTGCGGGCCCAAGAGCCGAGACGAGACGCCGAGGCCGAAGTCCGAGGCGTCCGAGGCGAGGACCTGAGGGCTCCAGGGGGCACTGAGATCGGCAGCAAGCAGAGGAAGGACCACACGGAGCCAGCGCAACTCCTGCACGACGCCGGGCCACAAGCGAATCGTGTCCGAGCCGGCGGCGTGTTGGAAAGCATAGGCCTCGCACAGGAACGACAAGCACTCTCTACGGATCAACCCAGCCCGAATAAGGTGGCCAATGAGGATCTCCATGAGCTTCCCACTGAGAGAACGCCGACGCAGCACGACATCCAGGGCACGGCGGAGACGCCATATAGACCGACGCTTGATCGACAGCCTGCGACCACGAGCGATCTCGACACCCAGGAACTCGGCGTCCCGGGACGCGTCCGACAGCTCGTGCACCACGAGACCCCGCTCCGTCAAACGTTTTGCAATGGCGTCGCGGCCCGCCTGGGCCACTCCAGGGGATCGGCTGAAAACAAAGAAATTGTCGACATAACCAGCAACCGCACACGAGTCATCGTCAGGAAGGACACGGCCGGGCTCCCCGTCGAGGACCATGAGAGGCTGCGGGAACCCCGAGAGGACCAAGCTATTGACCAAGACCGCCTGTACCAGATGCATAGCCCAGGACCAGCCCATGGAGAGGACCTTGCGGACAGGGGTGATCGGGTCGGAGGCCAACACGGGGTGCC